CAGAGCAAATGATTGTTGATGTTTAAAGTTGTGTGCTTGTTCAGTAGTGCTCAAAAAGAATATGTGAAACTGAAGGAATAGAGTTATACCATGCTTTTCACTGATGTGGTTACCAGTGTAAATTTGTTGTCTCTGGGATTTTAGGGCTTTTGGTTTTATCTCATAATAGATGGGTCATTAACCCTAGAATTACTGAAGCTACTTAAACAATTTTTTAAACTGTCTATGTACCAAATTGATTTGGGATCCATGACTTTGTTGGATACAGTATTCCTAATAGCACAATTATAATAAAAAACTTTTTAATTTTATAAAGATAAGTAGGGATTGATATATATATATATATATATATATATGTAACCTAGCTAGCTATGGTAATATAGAAAGTTTAGTGCTATAAAAAGCATTGAAACAAAGAAGTCAGAACTACAAAAACTGAGATTCAATATGTAGACCACACTGGTTATAAAAAACATGTCAGTAATTTCAGAGTTAAATATTTTGACAAATTGACATTAAAAAAGTAGGTTTAATTTAATTTTAGTCTTCTATAAGAAATGCTGTGTCAGAAGCATTGTAATATAAACATATGTTATCGTTATGACCTAATCAGATATTATGTTTTTCTGTATTATTTTTTGTTAGAGGAGCAAACACAAATTGTAAACCAAAATGTCATTGATATGGCTTTAATATAATAATAATATGCATTTTTCGCTTAAAAACAGTTCAACAAATGTGCTTAAGAATGCTCTAACTTTCTTGTTGTGATAATGGTGAACAAGTTAATTGTGTGGCTTATCTATTAAATGTAGATTATTAGTTTAAAGGGATAAACATAATACTTTGGAAAAATAGTATTCATTTGAGACATTATTGGAAGTGTATTGAGATCTGGCATTAGAGTTCCGTGCATCCTTTTATGGTTGTTGACCACTATGTAGATAAGTAGCAGATGCTGTATAATAGTTATTCCAATTCAAATCCGTGACAGTAATTTAGGTTTAAAAGTTATTAAATCCTCAAAACAAAAGGGATGTCGGGGCTTAAACAACTAACCAGAGCTGCTCAGAAACTGTAGTTGTTGTTGAAAACGTTTTTAACTTATTAAGTTATGTTTGCACAATAACTGTCAAAAAGTTTTCTGAACTTATAATGTGCTATATGATATTTGACAGGTCATCAAATATTTTACATCACATCATGCAGTTAACTAATTTTATAAATACTTTTTTTTCCTACCTATTCTCTTTGATTTCTTGTATAATTTTTCTATTGGTTGCAGTATCTCCACTTGCTCTAAAATTCCTATTTTTTAAAGCAGTCCTTAAAAAGTTTTAAAAAACAACAACTTTGTTTCCAATGATTTGGGGATATTGTTCTTATGATGATGGAAATATTAACCAGGTTCAAATAATTGGTGGTTTCATTAATGTAAATTGAGCTAGAAATCATTTAGGTAAGATTGATGTTCTTTTTAAAATAAAATTACAGAAGACCACCAGATGTAAGGTTAAGTCATCATCAACATCTTCATATAGATGCTAACTAATTTTGTCTTATCAGGTAAAATTTATAATCGTGATATCATAAGCATATCTTAATAATCTTTTTAACCAATAAACATTGAAGATTTGCTCTAATTTTCCTTAATATTTTTTTGGAAATATCCCCAAATTTTCACCCTAAATAGTCCTACACTTATCTTTAAACAAAGCAGTACCAAGGGTAGTGTGCTCTCACATAGCTCTGATCCTTAGGGATGCAAATTTTCACCTTTCAAGGCAAGAATAGATTCGACTTTCTTGAGGAGGGACACAGAATTTATATCTTGCACAGGGTGCCAGCATTGATCGGTACGGTCCTGTCTTGAAAAGAAAGAAATTTACTGAATATCCTATGGTTGTGAAAATTTAATCATCTTTGAAATTTACAAGTTTAAAATTTTCAAGTTTTTTTTTTATGTTTGAGTTTAGCATCATTTAGTGATAAGTTTTGTGATAACTAAAAAGTCTAATGACTTGACAGCTTTGAAAAGTCATACACTTGTTTGTTTACAACTGATGTAGGTGGAACGAGTGAATATTCGAATTATCTGTCATCAGAAGGCCTACATGCTGGACTCAAAAGTGGGAGGTACTTTCAAGGACAACTACGAGTAAATAAGAATAATTCAGGAAAAGAAGCTTTTGTATCAGTTTATTGGTATGTGGATATTACATTTTGTATAGTAATCATAATTTAGTGTTCTAACTTTTATTAGTTGACTAGTGATTGGGTTGACACAGTTTGCAACATTTCACAGAAATCGACTTTATATAAGCTGCAATATTTAATTCAGTAGAACTTTTTACATACTTCTAGGTCAACAGATGTTATATAAGATTATAAGGATTTAGATATTTTTAAACTAAGCTATTTTTTTTTTTTTTTTTTTTAGGTGGTGAATTTCCATGTTTTAGTGCTTGTGAACATTTTTGTTGGTAAACAGCTAAACATTTAAGAATAGCATTAAAAACTGAATTGATCTGTAAGATGCTAGAAAACATATAATAATTCAGAATTAATTATTCTCTTTCCCTCTCTCTCTCTCTCTTGTTGGGTTATTGTAATAATGATCTTTGTTTTGAATAAACCATGCACTCACTGATAACCTTCCTGAGGAAATATTTTAAAAAGCTGTAAAATATCAAAATTGGAAAATTTCTGGTTTATAATCAAGGAACTATTACACTACATGAACAAGTACAAAGTCAATTTTACATGAATTAAGAGAACTTTGTGTATATTTGTTAATACTGTATATCATGCTCCTACTTCATCCGTAAAAACGTTTTTCCATAAAGCTTGTTCTAATATATACCTTTTGTCAGTTTTTAGTTATTAAAAACAATATATGTATGTCTTTAGACTTGTATAAACAAAAAATATGTTTTTAATTTTTTTAATTCTCTTGATCATTTAGTGCAGTAAGTGGAGGAAGTTGTTGAATGTATGTATTTAACATTCTTATACATGCACATATGTGGATACGTTAAAGTGAACCCCAGAATCAATCACATACTCGCTTTATATTACATTTGGCCCAAAATACCATTTTATAGCTGTGAAATATGCTGCTCCAGTGCTCATATAGAAAATGCTCATTTAGTTTGTAAGTTATAGATGATTAAATTATCATTCCATAAATACATAAATATGCAATGCTAATTTTAAGTTATTACTGTAATTAATAATCTGAAGATAATTTTTAAATGAATGTTTATTTTCAATAAATAAATTGTAGTTGACACGTTGAACACTTTTATTAGAACTGTCAAAGATGTAAAATCCATTTCAAACTAGTTTTTTTTGTGTGTGTGTTATTTGATTTATTGCATTTTATAGAAAGAAGTAAAAAACAGATTGGTTGTTTCTTTTCAAGGTTATCCAGTAGAGAATGTGGTGATATTTTAATTGAAGGAATGAAAAATAGAAATCGAGCCATTCACAGTGATGAAGTTGTTATTGATCTTATGCCAAAAAGTGAATGGAAATCGAGAAACCAAATATTAACTAATAACACAAAAGAAGGTAAGATTTTTAAGTTGCCTCTTAAAGATCTGATATGAAGAAGCAGTATTCCTGAACTGGTGTTACTAGTTATTTGAATACATATTATTATGTAACAGTACTGTAACATTTGCTGTGCATAACTTGGCTTGATATTTCCAATGTTCAATACAGCAAGATTTGTTTCAACCCATTCGTTGCCAGTTTTTGTCTTAAAACCCTCATTAAATTTGTAATGAATAAACCTAGTGAAACAATATTTTAACTTAAAAAAGAAATAGAAGTAAATTTCATTTTTCTCCAGAATTTTACTTTACTAAATACTCCACAAAAATGAGTTCTGAAATGACAAACTAAAATAAAAAAGCAGAATTACAACTTGATCATATTAGTAGTTGAACTGAGTATGTGTATATATGTGTGTATGTATATCCATACAAGCTACAACTTGTATATCAATAAAGTCTAATTTGTTAAACAGAGCTTTTGAGGTGAGTCATTCTTGTTAAGAGAGGCTAAAGGTTAAACGGATGTTTGGCTTTTTATTTAACTATATGCTTCTTCCTCTATATTTTCACAGTTCTCTATGCTTACCTGTTTTTTTTGTTGTTTTTTTTTGGAGAATATAAATAACAACAAAAGTATGCCATCTTGCAATAAATCTAAATTCAACATATGATCAACATAATTTTCTTGGCTCAACAAAAAGCATGCCAAATATGCTGGGTCTGGTAAATTTGGTACAAACGATTGTGTGCAACTTTTCATTTTAAAGTTAAAAAGAAAGCATGTGAAAGCTTGTCATATTGTAAAATTCGTCCCACAACAAATGTGGTCTTTGATGGTCATAAAATATAATTTATATTATTTTTACCTTTTCTTTTGGTGGATACCTATGATAAAAGTTTGGCCTAACATACTTGTAATTTGCAGAATCAGTAAATGGAGAGGAAAATAAGAAAAGCACCAAAATCATGCCAGTGGGAAGAGTAGTTGGTGTTTTACAGAGACGATGGAGAAACTATGTGGCTTGTCTGCCTGATGAAGAGGTACTGCATAACTCATATAATTTTTTTTACATTGATGAGTTTCTAAGAGACATTATTATTGAACACAAATATTATTAAAAACAGTAGCATGGCATGCCTGATGCTTATGGTTCTGAATTTGCAGGGTATATGTTTGAATTGCATCACCAGAAATGCTCATCTTTTTAGCCATGGGGCAGTTATAATGTGATGGTCAATCCCCCTTTTTGTTGGTTTATTTTGAATTTCTTGCAAAGCACCACAAGGGCTAACTGCACTAACCATCCCTAATTTAGCAGTGAAAGACTAGAGGGAAGGCAACTAGTCAACACCACCCACCACCAACTCTTTTTGTTGGTAAAAAATAGCCAAAGAGTTGGTGGCAGATGTTGTTGACTAGCTACCTTCCTTCTATCACTTCTAAATTAGGGATGACTAGTATGGATAGCTTTTGAGTAGCTATTGTACAAAATTCAGCAAACAAAATAATTAAATGCAAATCTAAATATATTTTAAATCAATGCTAAGTCAGTTTTTCTTAATGTTTTAAAGCAATAATTGGATGATAGAAACCCTGTTGTTGTTTTGACTTATTTGTTTATATTCTGTGTAACTACATGTACAATATAAGCAAAACATATCAGCAATATTACGATAGTGTATCAGATTTTCTACTCTATTTCTTTGAGCATTGTGCTTGTATAAGCTAAAAACAAACATTATGTATTAGTTCTCTACTTGTTCATAAAAGAATTAATAATAAGTTCATTATTTAATTTCTGTAATGCCTATCAGTGTATAAAAGACATTTTAATAATTGAAATAAATGACCTTATAAACCAACCATGTTATTTGAAGTTTTGTACTGTCAGTTAAAGTTTGTGTTTTAGTGTAAGGCAAAACATTGAGGATCCAATTAATAAAAAATGGCAAATTTGGTGTTATAAGGTCATTTATATATCTAATACTGATAATAATAAGTATTTAATAAAGGTAGTTATATACCTTTTGTTAATTTGTGTTTCTCTGCAGGATTATAATATAGCAAATAGAAAGTTGGGAGGTCGAATATTGGTTATACCATATGACTGTAGGATACCTAAGATCCGGATTACAACAAAGCAAGCTGTCAATTTTCAAAACAAAAGGTAAATTTCTCTTGATTAGATATAGTGTGAAGTTTTACCTCACATTTAATTCTCTGTCTATCCAGTAACCCAATATAAAAATTGAGTGTTTTAGGATATTGACTAAAGTTATAACAAGATACTTTTGTATTTAAAAAACAAGGCCTGTTTGTTAAGGTGCTCGACTCGCAATTTGAAAGTTGCAGGTTTGAATCCCCATCACTGATCACATCTGCCGTTTCAGCTGTGGGGACATTATAATGTGACAGTCAATCCCACTATTCGTTGGTAAAAGAATACCCCAAAAATTGGAAGAGAGTGGTGTTGATTAGCTGCCTCTCCTCTAATCTGTCACTGCACAATAAGGGATGGTTAGCACGGGTAGCCCTCATGTAGCTTTACACATACTTAAAAAAAATCAAACCAGTTTAAAAACAAATCATACAATTTAAAAATACAAATTTTCTTTTCAAGTTTGTTTCTTTTAAGTCTGAACATTAACCCATTCTCAACAGGTCTTCCTATGGTCAGGGATCAAAGGGCATTTCAACACATTTGTAGACTTACATTCAAAATTTTATTTAAACACTAAGTTTGATATCAAATTGTATAATTCCAATTTTGGTATTATACATTAATTAATTTCTTAATTTAAAAGTGAATATTAAAAAAACAAACATAAATATCGATTTTTGTGTGTCACAGAGTATGTTTGGTTCAAATTAGATGTTGATATCCAAATACAAGGTGTCTATAGTTTCTTACGAATTAGAAACTCAAATTACCGATATTGACAAGTTAGAATATAAAATAAGAACTTCTTATCTTTTCTATTTTCTGAGATGTTATATTTAGTGAATCAACCTAGGTGGCCCTGCCCATTTTCCATTTTTGGGAATACTTGCTTACGTACTCTTACTTTGCTCTCTGGCGTATGTATAACCAAATGAATACTCAGTATGTCCCCCACATGGTTTTCTCAGCCTCTGTGAAGTGTGTTAACATGGGAAAACCTTCCTTTTTAGAATAGAATCGAAGTGGAAAGGTAGGAGAAAATGGAGCATAAAATATATTATTTAGACCCAAATACAGATTAGTTACTAAGCCTGATAATTATAGTACAATTCTGTGGTATTGATATAATAATTTATGATTTTTTTGTTATTCAAAAATGCATATATAAAACCTAAAACAATTATTTTGTTTTACATCCTCAGTGTGTGAAATCTGACAAGGCTTAGCAAATTATGGCAAGTGAGTACAAAGTTTGTAATTAGAAGAGATCATCTCTTTCTGTACTTCTTTACTGTTCCATTTGCTAAGAAAAATAACTGAAATGTAAGAACTTATTTGTAAATAGTAATAATGTGTGTGTGTGTGTATATATATATATATATATATATTTACACACACACACACACACACATGTAATATATTATAACAGAATTGTGACTGTATTTTACAAAATACTGGTCCACTAAAACAAAGCCAATACAGGTCATTTTGTAGAAATTAGTTTTATACTATTGGATACAGTAACATGAGTGCACATGCATCACGTCATTGCAACTTTTGTAATGTTAGTCGGACATTACAGCTCAAAGGTAAAAAATAATAAAGATACATAGATGTATAATGTTATGAGGTTTAAGGTATTTAGACTAAACATTTATGGTTTCATGTTTTAATTTGTAGTCATTCTAGAATGAAAAAAGCATAATTTATATCTATTTCCTAATTTTTAATGGTGGTTACGAGGTTGATCAAATCGACCACGCCCATACAGAGATACAACAGTGAAAATAACAAATAAAATATAGTATTTTCCAAAACAGAAAACGCTTGATAATTACCAGGAGGTTATTACAATGTGATAAAAATTTTGCATGTGAAATTTGACAATTTTTTGATGCATAAAAGTATTTTTAATCTTAAAATCCAAATTACTTTGCATATTGGATAGTCAACATTCGAAAAAAAAAAAATGCACAAGCAAATCGTTGCTTTAAAATTCTTAAAACTTGATAAAAAATCTGATATTTTGTATATGAAAGCCTTATAACATTTATTGATAACCTGTAAGATTTTGTGAAAATATGCTTAAAGTATTAAAACTTGTAGTATGAAAACTATAACAAGCACAAAATGGTTATGAGGTCAATCCCTGGGAATGAGCCCATAGTGAGGGAGTTAAATGCTTTACCCCAAATGAATACAAACAATATTGCCTGCAAAAAATTATATCAACTGTTGTTGACTTTAAAACTGTTAATAGACATCACAACGTCTTATGTAACATCAAACCAAAATAACACTTCAACGTTTGGTGTTTTGGGTGTGTTATAAGAGCGACAGTCAAATCCCACTGTTCAATTGGAGTAACCCAAGAGTTGGTAGTGATTTCTGTTGTTTAGCTGCATTCCTAGCTCTATCAATTCAAAAACTTGTGAAGCAAACAAACACTTATTTATTTCAAAGTTTCTATATTTGAGGATTGCAATTTGAATGATCATTATAGATGGTAACTAAAAATTATGAACTTTACAATTCTATGTTTGAGAGACATTGAGTTTCTAAACGCTCGTGATGTAATGTTTTCTTCTTATCAAGAGGTTGTTGTGCTTTTAAAATTAGCTTATCAAGGACTTTATCTATGCATTTATAATCATAAGATATATTCATATAATTAAATTTAGTCATCAGGCTTGGAGGGCAGATATTGAAATTGCTCTTGCTAACTCTTCAGTTAGGTTTTTGTACTGTTCATTTACAGAATAGTTATCCATGAACGTTTTTAAAACTTATTTATATTGGACTGTTGAAAGGTAATCAACACACTAGTAGAAAATTATATGAAGATTTTTTTAATGTTCCATTTATTTTCAGAAGAATAAAAAAAGAGAAAGAGTAGAAACTAGTGTAAAACAGATATATGTCTGTCACAATGTATGAAGGTTTTGTCACAGTGGAGTAACAAAATATTACTGCATAATACAAGTTAAGTATGTACGTACCATATTTGTAACAGATATAAACAGAAGTTATATTTCCTAGATCAATGACGTATGGTTCATATGAAAAGTGAAATAGCCCCAACTTGTTTGTTATAAGTACCATCTAAAACAAGGTGTAATAACTACATCACTCACTGAAGATATAATTGCTTTATTTTTTGGTTTGATTAATGAGCCCGGTAAGCATTTCAGATTCTGTGTACCTTGCTTTGTTTGGAGTGAAGCACAAAGCTACACAATGGGCTATCTGTGCTGTGTCCACCACGAGTATCAAAATTCAGTTTTTAGCAATGTAAGTCCACATATATACCACTGAGTCCAGTCGGGGGTGATTCTGTATGAAAGAATAATGCTCCTACTTTTAGAATGTTTTATTACATAATTGTGCATATAAAATATATTTGTAGGTAAATAAAGTCAGAGATTTCAGTCCTCTGTTTCTGAAAGCCTTAAAATACTTTGTACATTCTGGACAACCTGACTGTTATAAAAGTACTAAATATCCAATTAAATACAGATATGTATTATTTCTTCCCATTTTCAAATTTAACAAATTTTGAGACTTTCGGATATTTATTAGTTAAATTTTTTTGTTTTAGAGATTTTCACTGGTATGAAAAAAAATATTTCATTAACAAGTATATTTTGTTAAATATTTCAGGATTGTTGTAAGGATAGATAGTTGGGAGCGTGATTCACAGTATCCAAATGGCCATTTTGTTCGAATTCTTGGAGAAATTGGAGATCTGGAAACTGAAATAGCTGCCATTCTAGTTGAGCACGAAATTTCAGTCTCATCGTTTTCTAAGGGTTTGGTGAGTTCATATCATATTATGTGCATGGGAATTATGGTAGAATTAGTATTCTTTAGATTACATAACTTACATATTAATGTGTTTATTGCATATTGTTTCTTCACTAAACATGTTCATACATTGCAGTTATATTAATAATAAGGATAAATAATAAAAAATACAAGTGTTTTTATAACTCCCACTAATTCCGAAACACACTTACCTCTTCTCACACTTTAGCTTTATCCTGATGAAAATTGCTCTTCTCTGCCCATCTAAACATTAGTATGAATTTTACATTGCTTGCTCCAGCCTTTATACCCCCCACTATAATGCCAAAGCAAGTTAAATCTTGTGATTCTCTCCACCTACGTCAATGCACCCCCTATCCCAGATCTGTATATAAGCTTCCCGTTATTACTTTCTATTCACTTTTCTTGATGGCAGAATGTTACAACAACAGTTTTATGTTTTTGCTGCGAGTTTCTCTTCCGTGTTGAATGGCTTCAGTTATAGCTACTTTTCAGATGATTCCTTTTTTTAGAGCTGTATTCATGGGTCTGAAGTTTGTTGTCTATTTTATTTATTTTACAACATAACAAAAATGAAATTTCGAAGTAATAGTTTTTCAAAGTGATTTCGGTAATATTTTGTTTATTAATGTTCATTTGGATCCCACTCAGTGGCAGGTATTGTCTGGCCTTATATTCTTCCTTCCAAATCCGCCATAGCTAGCAGATGACCAATAAAAAAAAATATTTCCTGGTAGCAACTAGCTCTGTTGAGATGGGGTATTCCATAACACCACCTTGTGCACTTTTTGGGTGGTAAACAATTAAAACACAAATACACTACCAGACCACCACTCATGAACTATCATGAGTAAAACTTAAGGGGATTTTGTCCATCCCTGCTGACCCATAGATTGAATAAATTGGGGTTGGTTTGCTTTTCAAAATAGGGAATGTGGTTCACCTATTGCACTATCTCCAGAGCTTCATTCCTTGGGAGTATCCAGCTCGAGTATCTCCCCCCCCCCCCATTTCTCCTAGTGGAGTGTGGGAGTCCTTACCACTCCCAGTTTTCAGTCACTGGAGTGGTGGACAGTGGTTTATTCCTCCTCAGTGATGCTTGAACTCGTTATTCCACTCAAGGAGAAAAGAACAAAGCTGGGTGCCCTCTTACCAACAATCCAAGATGGTTTTCCCAGATCTATAGCAGGAGCAGGAACAGCCTATGCAGGAGGCTCCTCTTAATTCCAGTTCAGAGATGACTCTTCACTATCCGGTTGAGTTGAGTGTGGCCCTTCTTTTTGGTCATTTTCTTCATTTCAATGATCATGGAAGAGGGTCCTCAACTTCTCGTAACTCCACACCCAGATTGGCAATTCCTGTGCCATTGGTTGGACTTAGTTTGTTTCACATCCTCTAGATTTATGCCCACAGCCTTATAATTTCAATGACAAGATGTGGGACCTCTTCTGAATGGGTGGAACCTGGATGGATTCATGTTCTTCTACTGATGTAAGGATTTTGCATCTGTGGCTAGTAAGCCTTTACCGCCCAGGTATTAAATTTCATGTTTCCCAGGCGAAGAGCATACCTGTTCCAGAAGTAGTGTGGACCTCACTAGTGTACTATTACTATTTCTCATTTTTGCACACCTCTTTTCTACACAGATGCTTTCTGTGTGGATCTTGCCCTTACTGGCCCCTCCACTTTGTCAATGTGGGATTCTAGCTAAAGTGTGAGGGAAGGTAATGTTTTGCTATACCAAAAATGTATTTCCGATAATACTTACCTCTTCTCACACTCTCCTGGCCTTCCTCCTCATGAAATGGCCGGTTTTGGAAATGCTATTTGAACCATCTGGAAAACGGAATAGGCAGTGATATTGGGGATCTTTTCTACAGACCTGGGATAGAAGGCAGGTTGACATAGGTGGAAAGAATCACAAATCACAAGATTTAACTTGCTTTGGGGAATATAGTGGAATATAAAGGCTGGAGCAAGTGAGGTAAGATTCATACCAATGCTTAGATGGGCAAAGAGGAGAAACTTTCATCGAGATAAAACTAAAGTGTAAGTATTATCGAAAATACATTTTCGGAATAGGAAAATGTTAACTTTCAGGAGGCTGGAAGTTCTGTCAGCTTGTAATGAAGGGAATACTTACTATTTTAAGAACCAGTTTCCATGATTTATAAAGAGCATTCTTAATTACTTTTTGCCTGATTAGTTTATCATGCAAAAATATACCTTTTTACTTAGGTTAGCCAAATATTTTCTTTATATATTTTGTATGAACTTTTTTTTAGTGTAATGGGATTGGTAAAAAGGGATGTCTTCCAGTAAAGAAATATATATGTAAGATTAAGTTGTGAAACTGAAAAAAAAGTATACAACTTATTATCTGTTTTTTGTTGAATGAATAAAGCTTGAAGAATTACCAACAACTACTGATAATTCACCATGGAAGATTGAAGAATCTGAAATATCCAAGAGGAAAGACTTGCGGAAAAGTCATCTGGTGTTCAGTATTGATCCAGTAGGATGTGAAGATGTTGATGACACTTTATCTGTCAAGTAAATATTATGACACTTTCATTCAGTAGAAGCTTATGCAAAAATAAACAAAAAATGTAAAAGCTTTTACAGTTTTAGTTCAAACATTTAGTAAGTTCAATTCTCAGATATATCTAGTTGGATATAAAAAAGAAGAATTCTCAGAGGCTTTGTGTTTTTGTTTAATTATCAATAGAATTAGAAATATTTTCCTTTTAGTTCTCTTGAATACAAAATTGAAATGATCATATTTTAGACTAAGATTTAAAAGGTGTTATTATTATTGCTGTTTATATAAAAATATGATGAATCATTAGGACATAAATTATTTTATAAAAGACATAAAGTGAGTTGTAGCAAAATTACTGAAAACATTTCTTCAACTTTTAAAATATCCTGTTGGAAAGACTATAACTTTCTTTCCTCTGAGTTTTCAGTATAGTAGAATGTAGTGATGAGAAATAGAAGAACAATTAAAATCCTTTAATGCATATTTTATCTGTTGCTTTAAGTATGGCCTAATTTAAAGTAACTGATAGTAGTCAGTCTTTCAGACTCTACTAACCCGATGAAGCTAGTCAAGTGAAACAAAATAAAGCATAAAACTTAATCTTTCATGTGCTAGGTTTTTCTGAGATCTTATTGTTTGGATGTGTTGTCCTGCTTTCTAGACTTAGTCCCTGTGCAGAACAAATTTTTGTTGCTTGCATAAGGCCTTCCTTTTATCTTAGCACTGAAACATCCTTAGGATTTCACCTAAGGACCAAAATTCTTGTTCGTTTGGTTGTTTTTAATATACCTCTTTTTTCTTGACCTTAATAGTTTGTTATTATAATCATATGTTTCACGTATACAGTTTTCCACAAACATTTTTTTTTATCTTGGTTATCCTTTTTTTCTTCCAAATGTTTTGCTGTAACATGAAGCATGCAAAAAGTTTCTTGCACTCTTTATTTTTTATTATATATAATTCGTACTATTCTGAATTTGGATGGGTTTCTCACCCATGGTCCTTCTTTGAAATCCAGAAAAAGAGTATCAAATATTCCTGTGAAAGAGCCTATTACTTGCTGACTGTAGTGTCACAATCATTTGCCCAGTTTCAGATGGATGGATGGATTCAGTTTTTATCCACAAGTAGCCTTGTATTGTTTTTAAATCCTTGGTGTGTTAAAGTGCTTACCTCTGAACTTGGTTTACAATGGATTTTCTCCTCTTTTTCATTTTTCTTTTTATTGAAAACCCTCTCAGAAGTCTGTTGAATCAAAAGATTTTGGAACTTCAAATCAAGAATAATGTAGAGAATATAACAAATGATTTCTCACAGTTGTTTCCAAAACATGTAATAAATATTTCATAATTTAATAATTTGTTCCTTTCTGTATTTTAAAATTAAGATGAATCTAAAGCAATGTGAAACAGTCTATTGAAGTTACTAGATGTTGAGAAAACAGTTGCTGCTTATCTTCATGCTTCTATTCATCCCACTTCTTATGGTTATATTGTCCATTAAAATGTGAATTTTTCAATTTCTTGCTTTTTCTATTCATTAAATTACAACTCGGTAGCTTCATGTATACATGTGTGGATAATGTAAGAAAACATTTGTTTTAATGAACTCTGTAATATATTTTTTACTTAGAGAATTACCAGATGGAGGAGTAGAACTTGGAGTCCATATTGCTGATGTCACCCACTTTGTGAAACCTCTTTCTCTGACAGACATAGAAGCTAGGTCCCGTGGTGTTACAGTATACTTAGCTGATCGTCGCTACGACATGCTTCCACCATTACTGAGTGGTGACTTGTGTTCCCTATTAGGGCAAACTGATAGGTGATAATTGAATAACTCTTTCAACAGGGGCTCAGTCAATTTGACCGACCACATTACCTCTTTGTACTTGTTTAAAGTCTTTATAGATTTAATACTTCTAACTTTCAATATAGTGTGTATATCTTTACAAAATGTGGGAGTCTTTCAGTTAATACTACAAGTCTTTCACTTACAAATAATCATATTTTTTAGTGAAGTATTTTTAATAAAATAAGGATTTGTCTATGAATATACTGAGTATTTGTTTTGAATAGTCCGTGTGCAAAG